CAACACCACGCTCCAGGTCCTCAAGATGAGCGAGAAGAAGTTGAGCGCGGGCGTGGCTCTCGCGCTGCGCGCCATCGGCGAGAGCACCTCGCTGACGCAGCTCGACCTGTCGGAGAACAAGCTGGGCCCCGACGCGTGCGCTGACCTCGCCGCCGGTATCGCGAAAAATGCGTCGCTGCGAGAGCTCGAGCTGAACTACTGCGCGCTCGGCGCCGGCTGCGCCGCGCTGGGCGACGCGCTCAAATCGAACTCGACGCTCACGTCGCTACAGATCAACGACAATGGGATCATGAAGGCCGAGGCCGCCTTGCTGAGGGATGCCTATCGCCGCCGCGCGGAGCGGCTGCGCAAAGAGCTGGACGAGCGTGGCGAGAAGGGGAAGAAGACGTGGACTATTCAGGTCGACCAGACGCACAAGTTTACCGGGCGCGACCTCGACCTCGACGACCTCAACCTCGACCTCGACGACCTCGACGACCTCGACGCGTCGAGGGCCTCGGATGCGAGCAGTATCTCCGACGCCGAGGAGGGCGCGAGCGACCTCGACGACCTCGGCCTCGACGACCTCGACCTCGACCGCGAGTAGTCGGTTCGCCAGCCACGTGTAAGAGAACGGCGCCTGACGGCGAAGACTGCTCACGGACCGGTCTGTTCAATTAGATGCACATCATGTTCAGCGTATTCTAAGCTCTGCCTCTCATCCGTGAATGGTGGTGCATACAGTTCTGGAGTACACGATAGTCGATAGTTGATACGCGCATGCGCCTGCGCACGGTACGGCATATACACGAGATGTAGGTAGAGGCTAGAGCCGTCAACCTCCGTCAAGTAGGAGGGTTGGGAGAACGGCACGCTGCCACCACACAGGGATTTCTTCTCGCGCACTGCTGACTGACACTAACACGCGCGCCAGAGCCCCACGTGCCAAGTATTTGTGCGAGAGAGTGCGTGTTATTAGGCTGACGGCCCCCGCCAGATGCTTTGCTTGCGCCTCTTGCACCTCACGGGGTGTAGCCTCGCGCCGCATACACACACAGCAGCAGCCGTTTCGCGCGTTACGCGAACATTTTTTCGCACGAGGTCTTGGAAAGTAGGGTGCGGGCGTCAAGCCCCCCCCCCCCCCCCCCCC